CTCCTCTCCTCTCCTCTCCTCTCCTCTCCTCTCCTCTCCTCTCCTCTTCTTTTTCTTTTTCTTTTTCTTTGGATACTCCCTAGGGATTCTTTTGGGAGTTCTTCAAGAAAAGAAGGAAAATAAAATTTTCCATTTATTCATATCATCTTTCAATTCTCAGCAACACATTCAGAACACAAAGTAAAATGTTTTTCTTGACCACATCAAATTCACACACTCTGATAAACCACTCAGCATGCCCGAAACAATATATGTAGAAATGTCCTTAAAAGAAAGAAAAACCACAGCAAGAGGGAAAAAAAAAAAAAAGAAAAAAAAAAGAAGGGAGAGGGAAGGTTAAGAAAGAAATTACATACTAGCAATGAAAGATGTTGCTAAGAAGAAATATATTTTTTGCTTGGCAAAAATAAGAGGCATCTTTTTCGTTGCCAAAGTGAAGTCAGATTACTTTTCAGAGTTATGCAAACCTCAAAGTTTTGCCTGGAGGAGATCCTGAAAGAGAATTTGAGGAAGGTTCATTCCAATTCCTGCTATTTGATCCATAAAGGAGAAATACTGCTGGCATGAGTTCAGTACACCCTGGGATGATATTGGCCTGTCATCCTTGAAAGAAGAGAGCTATTGCTGCTGGTAGGGAAAAAGGCAAGCACCTCCATGCATGACTTCCAGACACTATTAGAAATAAGACCTCCACCAAGTGGGAACAAAGCCCAGTGTGAAGTTAGTTAGCTATTTCACATTGGTGGTACTTTCATTTCAGTATTTTTTTGAATGTCAGCTCTAGTTATGGATCAGGATCCTTTTGTTCTTTAGATAAACATAAAATCATCACTTTCTGTGCAAAGAAATAGAAATGACGTATCTTTTTTATTGTTCTAGTTCTCAGTGTCAGCACAACAGGCTTTTGATGGCAACGGGCCTTGATTTGGTTGCTTGGTATTTCATCACTTAGCTGGGTGACACCAATCATGATGGAAGAGATGCTTTTGGCACTTGCATACCTTCGTCGTGCTGTAACTTGCCAGAAGGGAAAGGGCAGAACCTTAGCCTGCAGGGGTATCCTGTATAATGACCCATTAATCCAAGAAGATGCATCAGTTACCTGTCAGATGAAAAGAGTTTTGAAAACTTTTTAAGTATTTTCTCTGTTTATGAATAGCATAATGAACCCAAGGCCTGTCATTTTCTTCAGGCCAAAGTCCATTCTGCTTAAAGCAATACAACTATTAAACTTTCAGGAATGGTGCTCCTTAAGCAAAGCAAAAATTTCATGTAACTCATTCTTCTCCCTGACAGCAAAGATTCTTATCATGCTACAGACTACATTTTGAGAACAATGCCTGAAACAAAGAGGAAAGAAGTTGTTTAATACTGTTATTTCCTCTAAATAAGATCACAGAATCATTGAATCATAAAAGGTTGGAAAAGACTTCTAAGATCAACAATTCAGCCATCAGCCATCACCACCATGCCCACTTTGGAGGATGCCAAACATGAACAGCATTCTCAGGACACATCATGCTTTTAGAATTATTCTCTCCTGATTCACCTTGTTGCAATTGTAACATTAGTCTCAGAAGTGAGAGCAAGAAGAGATCATTAGAATGGGGGCATTTACTTCCTCTGAGATCAAAGAGATGAGCCTCTGGACAGCAAATTTAGTGGTATTTTACTGGATACAGATGCATAGCACTGCTATCTCTTCTTTCTGCAATATGACAGCAGTGGAGAGTTCAGCTGAGAGAACAAACTTTAAGAAGACATCTCAGTCCCGTAGGACAGTGAAATAGTTGTCCAAATCACAATGTGGGACTCAGAGCCATGCCCTAGAACAAGTCTTTTCTTATTCTTACAAGGAAAGATCAAGATACATTCATATGTGACTTTTGACAGTTCAAGGAAGAAAACTTCAAATGCTTAGGTATTTGATCTTTATTTTTTTTTTTATAACCTATCAAAACCTCGGGATTTGTAAGCATTCCTTCAGCCCTAGATGGTCTCTTTCTCTTCTCTATTTTTCATATTATCCCAATAAAGGAGGAGGCCTTTCTTTTGTTGAGAAAACTAATGTAATAGAGTAGAAGATTTTTGCAAGAAGCAAACTTGTAAAAATGGCATCCTGGGGCTCCTCATTTATTACACAGCAACTGTTTCTAGATCAAACCTGTTCAGTTCAGCACTGAAAGGATGGGTTTGCTGCTGTCCATCACCGAAAGCCCTACAAAAGTAAAGGACATTTTCTGGGTCATAATCTCTAAAAATAAGTCACAATGGGAGTGTTAAAAAAACTAACTTACAGCGTGTGAATCAGAACTCCAGTTGCCTTGTACTTCTACAGGATTAAGAAAAACCCCTCGAGTGCAGCAATAGGTTATTTAAAGACCAAAGTAAATAGATCTGACTGCAGGCAGACACAGGAAACAGATCAGTGTCTCACGATGATGAAATCTGTGTAAGTTTTGACAAGAGCCACATGCTGGGGCTCATCCAACAGGGATCTTTCCACCAGGTATTTGTTGAAGCATATAAAGATGCAGATTAGCTTCAGTTGATGCAGGGAAGTGATTTCTTTTTGTTTTCATACATCCTATTAACTTTTATATTTTTGGTGGGGAAAGTGAAGGTGCATGAATGCATAGTATTTTTGCAGGCAGATGTAGCCTTATTCCAATCCTACCTCAGACTCTCAACCTTTTATCTCTTAGACTTACTCCCATAGCAGACGTGGTTACATGACTTCCACTTTGCTTGGATCAAGGCAGACAGGCTATGTGTGCTTGTCAAACACAAATACATGCTACAGCCTGCAGCTAGAGTCCAGGAAAAGGTCTTTGACATAACAAACATACTATGTAGTCCAAGACCTCCACAGCTCCAAGCTGTACTACTGCCATTACTTCAGATCCTTGCTGTGATGCTTTTTATGGGAATATGTTGACATTAGCTAGCACTAATATGATATTTTCCTAAGAAAGTGTAGCAGAGGTAGATGTGTTAAGTCAAAACTTCTCACAGCACTGGACCCACCTGGTGTGTACAAGGGTCCCTCAGTGCAATGCCATTTGTACTTTGAGTTTTGTTTGTGAGGACCAAGGCACACAGGAACCCAGGGAGAGGGGCTGCCCTGGTTTTCTTCTATTCTTCTTTGGTGTCAGCATATTCACCATGTTTGCTGCTTCTCACAAGAACTCATCAGCTTGAAACACATCCAGAAATAAAACATAGCTCTGAAAGCAGCACTACTGCATGCAGGACTGAGTGGCAGCTCCCAGTTCCTACAGGTTTTTGGTTCTACTCTGTCAACCATGTTAGAACCAAGAGGCAAATTTGTAAAGAAATGTAGAGGAAATGAGAAATTAAAAAGTCAAATCTGGAAAAAAAATGTGTCTTCCACTTCTGAAGCCAGAAGACAGATGCAATAATAATACAACTTTTGGAAAATGTGGAATAATAATAGAAGCTAGATCTATTTGAATCTCCAAAGGGTAGTCTCCAGACTACCCAGACCCTAACCTAGAGCAAAAGGGATTAGAAAAAAACACACTGATATTTTTTTTAACGCATCAGACAAAACCACTGTGAAATTGAGAATGGAAGCTAAAGCTAAACAAAGTCAAACTGGAAGAAAGGTGACAGCCTTAACTTAATAACAGCCCATCACTGCAGGAATTTCTCATGCATGGTTTCCCCAGCACTTAATTTTTTAAATTTCTTTAATTTGATTTCTTTATAAAAGATAGGCTTCTACTTACTATTTTAGTCTGGCCTGTACTATGTAGAAAGCCAGATTAAATCATCATAATATTCCCTTCTAGCCTTAATCTACATGTGATTAAAAACATATTACGTAGTTACCTGTTCCTATAGAGATGACCATCTCCACCCCATTCAAGTTGATATTTTCAAGCCATCAAATGAAACTAGCTGAGACAAAGCGTGCTTGATGAAACTGCTTGTGTGACATCTGCAAATCACAGCTGTGTCTGTGGGGATGTCAGTAAGTAAATATTGAGGCTGAAATCCTAAAACACAACAGATACACAGCCAGCATGGTGTCCCACAGGTGGGTGCAGGCGTGCCATGCACTGGAAGGGACAACCAACCCTTCAGGCCTTTCCTGTATTCCACCGTTCTCCATGAATATTGAAGATGGAATTTTTTTTTACACATTTGTAGTAGCAATCACGTGAACCCGAGCTCATTTTCACAAACAAAGCATGCCCAATCAACAGTCTCATTTTTTTTTCTGCCTAATGGATATTAACACAACAATTTTTGCAGAAAAGGTACAGGTGGGTTTCACACTCCTTCTGGGCCCCACAACAAAGACTTGCAGGTGTTTCCTATATCTTTGTGGTTATTTTTTTCAAACAGCATCTGTTGAAATGCATCTTGCCTCCTGCTTAAAATAACCCCGTTGCTTGGCAATGCAGGGTGTTTGCCTTAGCCTTAACTGCCCACCCACGCTGAACATTTTATGTTATTTAGATCGACCAGGGGCACAATGAGAGTCTTTGACCAGCAAGACTTCCTTCAGAGTGGGAGGCTCTGAAGGGGGAAAGGTGACCTAGGGATGTGGTAACATTTTTCACCTCCACTTCTCTTTCCAGTCGGGCAGCCCCGTCATAGTTGGCACCGACCGCGCTACCACCTGCCGCCTCCTCAGCGTCCCAGCAGAAATCCACACAAAACCTGGCTTGTCTTTGGGTAATTCCACTTGTAAAGTAGAAGCAGCTCACTTAAGCATTGCGCACGGCATCTTATTAAGCACCTCGTGATATGTAAAATTAAGACAACTGAAAGAAAATTTCTGAAAATGCTTCTCTATACTTTGTGACCACAGCTGACTTGTATCTGGTGAGGTTTCCTGGGTCGTGAGTCCATAGTTCCCATAACTTTTGGAAAATGTCTGATTTAACTTTATCTTGCTTCAATAATAACTACTAATGCTGTGTTAATCGATCAAAAGAAAACAAGTGGTCAAAGCAAGACCTAGAAAAACAGATCCAGGACGATATAGATGTAGGTTGAACATGATTTGGTTCTGAGTGCTCAGCATGAGCTATAGCTAATTATGACTAAAATCCCCTGGGCAAATTGATCTAGATGTGGTGTCCCTATTCATTGCAGGGGAGTTGGCCCTTGGAGGTCCCTTCCAACTCTAAAGGTTCTATGATTATGTGATTCTAATTCAGACATGCAAAGTGGTCTGGGAGGGAACTGGGAGTCAGGTGGTAAGGCTAGGCAGTACAAATCTACCTCAATCTGTGAATTTCATTGTAGGAAGAGCATTAGGTTGTTTTAGTGTTTTTTTTTTTTTTTCCTAATTTCTTTTTTATTTCTTTTTAGGGTGTTTTTGTTGTTGTTGTTATTGTTATTGTTGTTTTTTTCCTTTAAGATATGATTTAGACACCACTGGGAGTTACTTGGATGTTGCCTTCCAAATTGAGTGCTTTTATTTTTTTAATACTGTAGTGGAAATGCTGAGTCACAGCTTGAAGCAGTGATTGAGCACCTGGTGGGAAGGCAGGGCCAACCCAGGGGAGCTCAGGTGCATGCAATGCAGCTAAATGACCAGAAGGGCTGGAGCCAGGATTCACCCCTTCCCGGCCCTCATTTAAGGGCTGGCAGTGGAGACAAGGTTATCTCCCTGGAGGTTTGTGCCTACCTAAGGCTTTCCAAAGGTAAGCAGAATTTAATTTTTCTTTGTTTTTGTGTCTATGTCTGCTGCGTTTGGACTTGTTCTGTGTTTGCTGTAGTCAAGTCATTGCTACTCTGCTATTATTGCTGTACTTTCCATCACATTATAGCATTACAAATATCATCATGCGTTGGATAGGCCAGCACTTGCCAAACTAGCCAGTTCCTTCAGAAGCAGTGCCCAAATTCAGGCAGGACCTCACTAGCACTTAATTGCTCTTGGAAAATAAACATTTTACCTCATATTTTCTATGCTCTGCCTAACAGCATGGTAAGTTCTGCTTCTGATGCATAAAGAGAGACTAACGAGTGCTTTAGTACCCACCCTGTCTTCAGATAGCCCTCTATAAATAGGTGGGAAGAATTGCCACTTAGTGTCTGCCTCTTTGCCTAGGATAGGTAGTTTGTTTGAAATAGATTTCAAACTTTTAAATAGTTAATACTTGATGAAGCAAGTTCCATCTTTACTGAGTAATTTTAAAAGTTTTATCAGTTTGAACAGTCCAGAGGAAAGAGCACTGGTAACTATGACATCTACCAGCATGCTCCTGACCTGGAAGAACAATACTACAAAATTTCCCTGGAAAAGTAATCCAAAGGGATTTTTTTTCTTTTCCCTTATAACTGGCTCAGATAGGAATTTTATTTTTGGTATAATAGATTCCTTGAAGTGTACAGCTCTGCAGAGCATATGCTTGTTATTTTGACTTAAAAAAATAAATAAATAAATAAATTGTATTTAACTCATTTCCAGGTCTGCTAATTCCAAGCAGCAGCTAGACTCAAGAATGAGGGCTTTTAACTGGGATGTTACATATAGGACTCCTAAATTCTCAAACTCTTCTATAATTTTCAGAATGGTAGAGCAAATAATAGAAGCTTAATAAAAGTTGATGTAGGCAGCTACCATGTTATCAGGTGCTTATAACCTCTGTGTCCATATTCATGAAACTAGATGCATTAATGGCACTGTGCCCCAGAAGGGTGAACTTTGGTATTTTGTGTATCCTCAGATATTATTTCTTAATAAAGACTAAAATAATTGGAATAGATGTATTATGATTGATTAATGAATAGCATTAATCTTTTCCTCATGACTACCTTGGTCTTCATGAAACACACTTCTGAAGATGTTTCTCTTTCTTTTTTTTTTTTTAAACATCTCAGGCCTAAGTATTTTAAGGGTTGTACTTGTTGTACTTTCTTCATACAAGGCATTTAGTAGCTTTTTAAAATGTCATTTTATTCACAATGCACAGGTCAACTGCATTTAAATAACTGCTAGATAAACTGCCCACAACTTGAAACGAATGCTGGATGAAAAACACAGCATGTTCTACTCCTTTAAAGTTGTTCTGCGTAATTTTTAACCAAGTTTTGGATGGAAGAGGTGAATTATTGCACAGCATACAACTTTGGGCCACACACTCAATGCTGCCACCCATAAACACCTTACCTCATCTTGAAGGACTGGTGACACAAGGCTGTGCCCGACATCATGCAGGGCTGTGTGATGACTGATTCCAGTGAATGAAAGGTAATGTTCATAACCACAGGCTCTTGACCTGGTGGTGACCCACTCGCTCTCCTTTTAAGAGGCTTCTATGGGGGGGGAACCCACACCAGAGCACTTGTTTGGGTAGTTTTCTGAGAGGCAGGGGAATTTCATTAGCCTTGAAAGAGATTTTCCTGAATCTAAGCAAGGTTCCTACATTTTTTTGGGTTCATTATACCTTTGTAGTTAAATTAACCAGAATGGCTTTCAGATGCCTATGTAGTCATTCAGGAACAATAGTGGCCATTCTGTCCTGAGATGCACTGAAAACATGGAACAGCTCTTTCTGTAGCATGGAAGCAAATGTAGTGCTGGAGTGGTCTGGATGAACACAGAAACACTTGGAACAATATAACCCAGGGGTTACCTCAGTCATCTCAAACACTGCAAATCTCTCCTGGATAGCTGAAATTGGGAAAGCGGCACAAGACAAAGGAACTAAAGAACTATCAGTGGGAAAGTTAACTCGGGTGAAAAATAAATCCACTAAGAGATTATGGAACTGAATTGACTGCAAAGTCAGATGGTTTAAACTTCACAGATCTCACTGATGGAACAACAAACAGAAGACAAAGTGTGGGAAATATACAAATTAACACTGTTGGAATATGAAGTGAAAGCAGGTACCCAAAGGCGGTAGAGTCACTGAAAGGGCATTTCTACACACATTCCCTTCAGAGGAAATCCTATTGTTATTTCTGAGTGAGTCAGCCAGGGCTTATTTCACAGAATGAGCACATGTGTTTCAGAAAGCCTTTCCAGTGTGATGCAATGAAGATGGAGCAATTGGGCTGATGGGCACCAGCTGGGGGCTGGGCAGTGCCTTGGTTCTGCCATGCGAGGCTCCTGCCACCCAGCAGCTGCATGGGCAAGGTGTTTGTCTCTGGGGTTTATGCTTTGATTGATGTGCGCTAAGAACAGAAGGTCTGTATTTAGGAGAGTGGGAGACAGAAAAGGAATTAAGTGAAAGTGTAAGGATTCAGGGGCTTACAATACAGGTTTAGAGATAAGAAAACACAGAAAGACGAGAAAATTCCTCAACATGTTAAAACATATCAAAAGATCTATATGAAAAGGATACACAGCCATTGCATGGCTCGAGTTGGCCAATTTGTTCAGACTTTGATAAGAACAATGCTGCTTCAGTAATACAAAAAGCATGTTGTCAACTGCTATTGAAACTGGCCTACCTGAGAGTTCATACTCGGGTCTGAGAAACTGGCTATGTTTTTTGAAAAGCAGTGTTAAGGGAATGGTGGCAACCACCTTGTGTCTTTCCTTCCAGGGAGGAGGTATCAAGGATGCTGAAGGAGGAATGTACCACTTGTCTGCAGGTCAGGATGCATTAAGTGACCACTTGGTGGTCCACAGTATGATCTGGGACAGAGGAACCACATAGGAAGCAGAAAGATAGAAACATGCTTCCCTCCATTCTCTACAGCTATACAAAAAAAAAAACAATAAACCCTTGAACGTCCTCCAGTGACAAAAAAAGTAAGTGAAGTATTGTTACAGTAGTTGGGACAGAGAAAAGATGGGTTGTAAAGAGATATAGTATGAAAAGAAATATATGTTTTCACAGGTAACGTTACACATACATACTTTCCCCAATTGTTTTTAATTTGATCTCAATTAATTATGTCTAGTCTCCCACCTGTCAGCCGTGAAGACCAATGTACTCCATCAAAGTCTTTTAACTTTGTGAAGAACACATTTCTGAGCAAGTCCTCTCCATAATATTTCGTTTATGTTGTGTGGCACCTTAAGCAATGCTTTGTGCTTTCCTGAATTTGGAGCTTTGTGAACAGAATGCTTGGACCTGCAGACCTACAGGCTTATCTTAGTGATTTAAACACAGCTACCTATGCATGTGATGGAATTCTTTTATTAGCAGTCTCCTAGTTAGGACTAGATGGATATCTAAGAGAAATGTTATAGCTCAAAGAGAGAGAGGTGCTTGATGCAGAAATTACAGGGTCAGATTCAAAGGCTGGTGTTGTGTGGGAGGTCAGGCAAGGTGAGCATGTACTTCCAACCACTGCATCTGCACTATAAATTTCAAAGCTGTCTGTAAAACTAGGAAATGCACAAGGAACTTAATGCAAAGTGTTTACCTTTCCTTTTGTCTGAGGTGTAACCCAACATTTTGCCTTTCCATCACATCACTGGGAAAGGAAATTAATTTCCCTGCTCACTAGTTATACTGAAATTATTTAAAGCAAATTCTCAGCTACCACGTACTTGATCATAGAAACTTTCTTAACCCCAAAGCTCTCTTGTTTCAACACTTTTCTTCAACAAGAATTCCACCAGAAACAAAAATGATTTCTGTTTCTTACCTTTCAACCCAGGACTCCCTATTCAGCTCTAAATGCAATCCTAGGGGAGAAAATTTCCCTCTCCTTTTTTTTCCTTTAGACATTTACCTGTTTTCATCTGGTCTTTCTTAGCCTTGATCCTGAAAGGAGCAGGTTCACACAGTGCTCAGAGTATCACCCTACACAGAAGGGTAGGCCTGAGTTTGTTATATCCTCAGAGAAAGGATGGAGCAGATACATATATGCATAACACAGACAATATTGATATTATTTATATCTCTTTGGGCAGAGTCTGGACAGAAGAGAAAGGGACAGTAGAAAATGGGTCCACTTCATCTCACTGGACGTGTTCAAAGGTGATAACAAAGGCTGAATGAACTAGGCTGCTGCTCTCCCCACCTACAGCCAAAGACTGAATTTTGTGATGGCCTTCCTTGAGTAGAGCCGAGTGCACTCCATAGCCTAGACTGTCAGCCCAAAAGAAATGCTGTGAGTTTTCTAGTAGTGCAGTAGCTTCTTATAACTTCTTTTACAGTGAGGATAGTGAGGCACTGGAACAGGTTGCCCAGCGATGTGGTTGATGCCCCATTCCTAGAGACTTCCAAGGCAAGGCTGGATCAGGTCCTGGGTAACCTGATCTAGCTGTGCTTGTCTCTGTTCATTGCAGGGGAGTTGGACTAAATGACCTTTTCTAGTCCCTTCCAACTCTGAGGACTCTATGATTCTAATTCCTATAGACAAATCTTCCAAACATGAGGCAAGGGGACTGTGTGCCACTGTGCAGAAAGTGTAGGCTCACAGCATGCTGGGTCTTGTCGTACGGTCATGTCTGAAACTTAAGGAAGCTGACAAAGAGAAGGAAAAAAACACTTTACAAAAACACAAGTCTCAAGGTTTGCAACAAACTGAAGAAGTGCCAGGTTATTATGAAACAGAAGAGGCTGAAAAATAATCACAGATCTGATACTTGCAGTATCTAGAAAAGAGCGCGTTCAGAACACGGCACTGGGTTGGGAGGAACTGGAGACTGAAATAGTATAACTAAACAAAAATGGAGTCATACTGGCTACCTGCAAAAAATACAACTGTAATGCAATCTTAGGAAGTGCGAGCTGCAAGCTGAGCGAGCTCAGAGGGGGTGGAGGTAGCTGCCCAGATTTCCTAGCACTGCGCCTTTATGAGCTGAGCACTTCACTGAACGTGTTTTCTTTCGTATTTATTTTCACAGAATCAGCCTGATCTCACGTTCCAAGAATGAAACCCTGGCATGGAAGTGGCATATCTGCTAGTTAATGTCAACATTTGATGTGCAGTCAGAGAGCAAACAGGATTTCATATTGTGGTAAAAAATGGAAATACTATTTGCTTTAATTCTAGTTTCTTCGTGTCGGATGTATTAGGAGTCTCATAAAATAGTAAAAGAATTTAATTTTTACTTGCAATTATAAGAAGCAATAGATATATATATATAATACAATGTACCTACTTCTACAAGTACAAACAATATGTAAAATCTAGCTAGTAATGAATAGCTTGAAACATCCTTTGCAGAAAGCATTATAATAAAAGACTTCAGTGACTTTGTTTAACACTCAGCTACTAAGAAGGGGAAGAGAACACTTGACTGTGAATGAACTTCGCTATAGCAAAAGGAAAGTTCTCCCTGATTTACAAATAGGCACAGAGAGACTAAGATATCATGTAGAGTGGGTGCAGCTTGCTGTCCAGCTCTCACCAGCCATGTGTAGAAAGCAAATTAACCCATGTGCCTTATTGTCCTCCAGTCTTCTGGACAAGAGATCACAGGAGATCATGTTTCAAACAGTGATGTCCTAAGTCTGGGAAGAGCTGAGCAATGGGACTCTCACTGCTGTAGGAAGGCAGTGCTCAGAACCACAGGATAGTCCTGGGCTCCCAGGGACAATAATGAATGACAACCATCACTGGCACAGCACTTCTGTGAGTCTCAGAGCAGAAACACCTGCCATATATCCCACCCTGGCAGGGAAATGGAGCTGGTGACCAGCAATCTTTTCCACCTCTAACTTCTGGGTCTTTATGAATCGTCAGTCACACCTAGGTGTGATATCACTATAAAATCCCAGTCACGGAAGAGAGCTGGCAGAAAGCTTTGCCTTTCTGCAACTCTGTGGTTTTATGCTTAGATGTGTCCTAAATACTGAAAGAACGAAGTAGACTTTCAAGCATCAGTGTTGACAGTTGCTTTCAGAGATGTTCAAACAAAATCCAGTCACATAGACAGCAAAACCAGTTGCAGCACTAACATGGCTTTTTTTTCTTTTAAAAAGAAAGCCATCCCTACCCAAACACACCTGTGGTGTGGAGTGACTGATGCAGCTCGTTTTCAAGAGGCTGGCATAGTTCTTTATAGACTCATAAACCCAGGGAAGCATTTTGGTTAGAAAAGACCTTCAAGATCATCAAAGTCCCACTGCCAACCTCACCTACCAAGTGCCACCACTAAACCACGTCCTTTAGTGCTGCAGAACATCCTCAGAGCAAACACGAGCGCTGTGCCCAGTGCCAGCTCTATACTTGGATCAGTGGCAATGATTGACTTTAGATTATGGGGGCATATGCCTGACTGCTGTCATCTTAACAGTGGGGCAGGGCTCAGTCTTCAGTACATTTTTCTACACAGTATGTTGTGTTGCAGTTGGAAAGTTTCTTTCCTTCTTCTCCTCTTCTAAAGTCATGCAGCGGGAAAAGAAAACATGGGAAACCGTGTCTTCAAATCATACACCTATACTTCATCTTGCTGTATAATCATCACAAACATTTGGTGGTGAGCTGTACTGTATCTGCGTTTTGTCTGGAGTTTGGAAGTGGTTTTAACGATTTAAATCGCGGTGAAGAACAGGGCCACTCAAAACGCAGAGCTGGAAAGCAGAACCGCGTCAGCATCTGAAGTATTTTAAAGTAGATTTTGGTCCAGGTCCCGCTCCACTGTGTCCTCATGTTGGGAAAGTATATTCAGAGCTGACATGTCTTTCCCAGGTGTTTTCTACTGGGACAAAGTGCAGAGAGTGCAGTTAATCATGAGTGCATTCAAGTGTCCTAAGGTCTTTGGGTGAAAGCTGTTAGAGACATTGAAAAAGTGTTTAATAATCACAGCCCCATGTCCTCAGCACAGGCTTTTTGGGTTCACAAAAGTTCAAACACCTTTTAAGAAATTTAGGCCAAAATGTAAGCAGGCCAGAGCCATACAGCAGTTGTAATTGCAACGGGGACAACACTTTGCTGAACCATTTTCAGGATCATGACTACTTGCTAAGATGCATGCTGAGTGTTGCTGCTTTTATAAACCGCAGCAGGTTCAAAGGTACTCTGAGCAGTTTCCTATAGTTGACATAGAAAGATATATATTTTTTTTCCCGTCTCACTTTTAAACAGTTTCAATTGGAAGGGCATATAACAATAATTCCCAAGAGGATTCAACATTGGGTCTTTCAATGGACTGTCAACACATCCTGTTCTTTCTCATTTGCAATATATGTCACTAAAAACAAACTGGACATATAAGGTACCTGTCTTTTTTCAGCAAAATTATGACTCATAGATGAGAGTAAAAATACCCACAAGTTTTGTAACAACTATGAAAGCTGCAATCCCAGCTAAAAGAAAGATAAATTTTTCTCTGCTCTCCATTTTCCGGCCTTTCTGTTGGTTCCTCACACCATCTTTAGGGATAGCGTTGCTCACACAACACCGAACTCCATGCAACAGGCTGCTATTGTGCTAGAGCTCTGTATGGAGTGCTATGGCCTAGCAAGGGAGATGTGAAACTCACTAAAAAAAAAAGTTGTATTTGTGAAATGCTTTTGGATTACGTAAAAACATTGCAGAGGATTTTATTGCCCCTTGTTGTACCGGCTAAGAGTTACCCAAACTGTCCATAGATGGAAGAAGAAAGGTTTATCTACAGCTTTTGGAGTAGTTAGAAGGAAGACAGATAAGCAAACTTCTTGGTTCTCTAAGAAGTAGAAACTAAGAGCAAAAGGATTAGTACTATAGGGAAACCAACACACACATGAGGCCCAGTGTTCTCTCTTGCATTTAAATACATAAGCACTTGCAAGTATCATAGCTATGCACTATTTTACACCAACTGCACATGTTTCTGGTACCCCTTTAGTGCGACAAGCTCCTTAGCACAACACTGAGCAATACCTCAGTGCTGGTTTTTTTCTGCCACAAACCAATTAAGTACTGAGAAGTTAATCATTAGCCGGCCAGTTGTGCACTGAGACAGACTCCCTTCTTTGTCTTACGGTGTTATTAAATGCCTTCTTCTTTGAAATGCCGCATAAAAGTGATAGATGCCCTTTCTTTACAAGTCAGCCATCCAGGCAAGCGATGTTTTATATAAGTTCAGCCAACAAGAGCCCTCCTTGTTTAAATATAGAATCATAGGGCAGATAAGGCTGAGCAAACCACTGCTGCCATGAGCCTGGGCTGCAGATAGGGGCTGGGGGCCGGAGGGCACTGCTGCACCAGATTTCACCCAAGAATTATGGGATGGGGACAGGATACGATGCGAAAAACAAATTAGGATGAGGCCAAATGGTCATGTATATTTGCACTAGCACGATGGAAAGCTATCAGCATCTCCTAAGGACGTTTCATCGTTCTGAAGGGCAGTTTGGCATGGATACTGCCATGGAAACACACAGTTGTACAAGCAGATGAATGAACAGGGAGATGAAAAAGCAGGACTGAGTGAGACAGCAGAATGTTCCCCTTCCCAAACCACTGTTCGTTTTCTCCCAGCAGCAATGCTTCCCTACATTTTTGCTAACTAGCTTTTACAAGGTAAAACTGGTGCTCAGGAGAATAATGCTCACTTTGTTTGCCCCTGGTGGAAACACAAGGCCATCAAGGCAGGGCTCAGCTAATGTATAATCTATGTTTACATGTAAAAAAAAAAAAACACCCTTATTTAGGCTTTTGATTTATAATCCCTAGTTTTCATAAAAGTCACTCATTCCCAGTGAAAGAATGCAGAGTAGATTTATAGGATCTGTATTATGCCTTAAATCTTAATGGCATTTCTAAAGCACTTTTATGAGTCATCCTGAGAAATGCTTTCCCTCTATTTCCAAGACATTGTTGTGTAAAAACAGATCCAAATCTTTACCTTAAAAGCAAGATTATTTTAGCCAACCACGCTTGCATCAACTCCACTGCAATGCTAAACACTCTGTCTGCAACATCTTTATAAGCCCCTATTTCGAAGGGTTCACAGCTTGAATGTAAAATGCACTTTGTACTATGTTTGATAAGTTCTGTAACCTACATAAGTGGTGAATTTGTTTTCACCATTACAGCCAAAATAAAATAAATCTTTGGAGGTATCTGTAGGAAGGAGCTGGTGACACACTGGAACAGGTTGCCCAAGGAGGTTGTGGATGCCCCATCCCTGGAAGCATTTGAGGCCAGGCTGGATGTGGCTCTGGGCAGCCTGGTCTGCTGGTTGGTGACCCTGCACATAGCAGGGGGAGTTAAAACTGGGTGATCACTGTGGCCCTTTTCAACCCAGGCCATTCTATGATTCTATGATAAAAGGCCTGATGCTGCGCCCTCCCCCTGTCCCTCACACCACACTTTGAGATATGAAATACACAAAGCTCAGGTTCAATCAGAAGCAGCACCATCTGATCCCAAGTACATTAATCACATGCACACATACAGAAGTGCTGGCTGGGCATTAACAGTGCCATGCCAACTCTCAAACAGCTCTCTGTAGAGCCAATATCCTTTAGATGGAAATTTAAATGTGTTTTGAAGAAGTGAAGAGTTGAGTATCATAACACGGAACGGTACAGAAGCAATTTCTTAAACATTTTTTTAGGAAGCCAAGCAGCAACTAGTTCATGCAAATATGCTATTGCAAACCATAAATACGTATGCTCACTGATGAGATGTTTCAGCAGGACTATTCCTGATACCAAGTGCACCATTTAGCAGATGTATCAGCAGAAACTAGGTCCTCAGTAAGTGACGAATTGCATAGATCTTTGTAAAGTATCTATCCCCTTGTTAACAAACGTGTTGCATCTTTTGGAAGAGGCCAAGAGAACTGACTCCAAATGACAGAAACAACAGTATGGGATCCAAAGGAGTAGCACCAAAGTCTTGTGAGCACACACCTGGCTGATTCCCCTTTGCCTTTGACTCTGTATTCATGGCTTTACAACTCATCACCTACCTCTGTTGCTGAAGCTGTCTCTGCACAGAATAGTCAAGGGCCTGGACCAAGCAGAACAATTTTGGGAGAAGTGGGAGCTAAGGAGGCAAGGGAGAGCCTATCACCCGCCCACCATCAGTCTGCTATGGAAAATGCAACAGCAGATTGTGAATGAAGTTGTCCAACCTGCAGCAGGTACAGTGATAGTCCAGAAGGAGGCAAGAGCTCCATGGGGGTGACCAGGCACCACACAAATGTTTCAGAACCTGGAAAAGATACAAGACACAAAAACAGGATCTCCATATCAATGTTTCTGGCATAGCTCTGTAAATTCTGCCTAAATGTCATTTTAGTTATGTAATTTTTTTTTTTTTTTTGGTCAGAAGTCTTCCAAAAAACTTTTTTTTTTTTTTGCAACAGAAATGTGAACATATCAGAATCCATGTCATAATTCAGGCTAACCTTCCATATTTTATTTTACTTTTTTATCCTGAGATTTCAGTGTTTTCTTTATGATGAAAGAAATTGAGAAGGTTTGATTTTTGTTTTCTTTTTTGTTTGTTTTTTAATGGTATTCTAAACTATGTTATTTAACCTGAACATGCTCAAAATGAGTGGGAAATACTTGTGTTCCACACGGCATTATTGTATGCTATGTATCAGATATAACCAATAGAGAAAGACAAATAACCTGGGAACAGCAAACACTTGCAGTGAATTATGTTTCTGAGTATCCTGAATCGCATTTCAAAGTGCTCAGAATATTATCCCACTAAATCAAGTACTTACTGTGGATCCAGTCCTGCAACCTCCATTCGTGTGAACAGTCCCATCCATAGTGAGAGGACTGCAGAGGTAAAGGCCGTTTCTGAGTACACATTTTCAGAATCCACTGTTCTTTCCTTACATGCTTTAAAATTAAAATTTTACATTTGCAATCACATTTTCTATGGCAAAGAGTTTTTCAAACAGTCTCCGTTTCCCATCTGGTTAATCTTTACAGATAAGATCCATCATAAACACAGACATTACGTTTTGGCAAACATTTGGATTTTTTTCGATAGTTTTTCTTCGAG